ACGTTTATGCACTAGCGTTCCAAAAGTGGAAGGTAGCGGTCAAGCGTGAGGGGGTCGAGCCACCTTAAGACCCCGAGTGTTGGTGCGGCCGGGACTCGAACCACGACCTCCCGCACGAAAGTCCGATRCTCAACTAACTSAGCCAACTCAAGTTAACCTTTCCACCAATCACAACACGGGTTATAAAAGTCTGATTGAATATTTCGTGAAACAATATTACCTACATGTACTCAAACGTACAGCCTTAGATATTCTCTTCAGCCAATCACGAAACGCAATTTGTCTTTGGTATTTTGCATTGTGCATAATATTCAAGTAACCTTTCAACCAATCACAACACGGGTTATATCAGTCTTCATTATTTCGTAGCAGATTGACTTACTCAAATTTAGCCTTGGGGATATTCTTGAAGTAGTCCTTTAGCTTCGGTTCTATTAGATCGAAGCATATCTCCCTGTATCGAGCCATCAATTCTTCCTAGAAATGACAAAGATTGTTGCTTTTATACATTGCTAAAGGTTGCTATTTGTATTGTCAATCAATATAGTGAACAGAGAAGATGAATCAACTTAGGGATTCTCCTTCTTTTCTATTCCAGTCTCTTTTGCTATAACTTCCATTCAGGCTTGACTCCCTCTCTACCTCTTTTCCTTCCTTCGTCTCGCTTTCTTTCCTTTTTTCCCTCTTTCTCTTCTTCTCTCAGTTCCATCTTCCTTMCTTACTTCTTTTATCTTTCCCGTTTTTCCCTTCTTCACCACATATTGTTGTTTATATGCTGTTGTTTTTACCTTACTATCAAAGTAGAATCGCTTGTCCTTTCTCAACATGGCAACAAACGCTTCCAAGTCWCCATCAAATCCTGTTTCCTTGGCAACCTAAATGGTAGCATCATTTTAATGTAGTTGTTATAACAACTAATCTAAGATTTTGTAGTGAGCAGAAAGTTTTTTAATAAGTGACTCTTCTCTRATACTTCCCCTTCTCCCTCGCCTTCCCTCTCCTTTTATTTCACTTTCCTCCCTCACATTCCCTTTCCTATCCCTCTATTTCCTTTACCTCTCCATTCCTTCCATCTTCCTCCTCTTTTTCTCTTTCCTTTCTTCCATCTACCTTCCCCTTAACATCTTTTTCCCCATGCCACTCCACAAGGGAAAGAAGAGACTGTATACGCATAGAAAAGCAAAGAAAAGCAAGGGCGGATCCAGGGTTTTTTGAAGGGAGGGTCTCAGGGGTAAATTTTGTGGGCAAAGGAATCCCAGCCGCATTTTTACCGCGACCCCCCGACCCTCCCCCTGGATCCTAAAGAGAAGAGAAAACAAGACAACAGCTACATGTACAACATGGATAAATAGTTAAAAGCAACATACAGCACCTGTTTCATTCTATCTCTTATCCTGGMCACCTCCTTCAGCCCAATCTCATGGACTTGTTTGGGTGTCAAATCACATGTGATGTGGAACTCAAGCACCTGAAAACAACATCAAAGATAGATCAGCCTAAAAAACCTTCCAATCTGCAAGTTATATCAATACCCTGAAAACAACCTCTGGGCGTGGCTAGCTCACAGATGAAATTGAAATGTAGCTTGTTAGGTTTTGGTGAGGAAGGAAAACCAGAGAAAATCCAGGCTTGAATCAAGGGGAGAGACCTAACAAACTCTACAGTACTCACATATGATGCCAAGACCAGGAATTGGTCCCAAGACCACAGAGGTGAGAGGCAAATGTATTTGCATCACCAAAGCAGCCAAGATATTAAATAAACAATGGTTTAATGTTATTCAGTGTTAATATAATGTCTCAATATTGTCATTTACTTTCTTGTAGAATTCTTTYCCATTTGGGAACTCCTCACACGAGATGCTTTCTCTTGACGCAGGAATGTACTCCTAGATAAAATTACAATATGTCAAAGAGAATCTTTTAGAACAATGTTTTATTACTGCAAATGTCATAAACATGYGAACTCTGTGTCTGTGAGCTACAAGCTGAAATTTGGTTTTTCGCTGCTGTCAATCAATCCTAATTAGTCAGCGGTACTTTCATATTTTTGACTGACGGCAGTGAAAAACCAAATTTCAGCTTGCAGACACAGAGGTCGCATGTTTATGACAATTGCAGTAATTTTAGAGGCAAACTTTACAAACTAACCTTGGAGAAAAAATCTAAAAGAGTTTTAAAAGCTGGTTTCACTTTGTCTTCTATCAAAGAAACGTTCTCCTTTATCAGCGTCCTGTACAYGTATAAATTGAAATATTTAGATTTCATTCATTATTCTATGCATTTTTTTTWAATTTTCTGAGAGGCAGATAAGATCTTCACGAGACAGGAAATGATGTCAAGTGAAAGCCAGTTATCATCTTCAATTAGATGTGCATCATACGAACACATTTTGAGGGTGCTTTTTGGTGGTAATCTAGTGTAGTGCTATTGCTACAGTATGAAGGGAAAAGATTTTCATGACTTATTGTGGCTGGTCTTGTCTGTGTAATTAGAATGCAGATGATTATTCCATATCAGTTTAACAATGTTATAGCTATAAAGTATACCTTTCAGCATCAGAAAACGATTCAGGAATATTCTTAAATAGACCATACAGCTTGGTGTCTCCATCGATGGTTGAATCTAGAATACCTTGTATCTGTTCAGGGACATGGATCTATAAAATAGAATTAGATAGAATATGATTATGATTATGATTTATGATTTATATAGCGCCCTTTAATATGTGGATATCATCAAAAGCGCTTTACATGGAGTAAATGACAGATTGCTATGTGCAATTTACAAGCATGAGAGATGGTTAGTATGAAGTGTAGGCACTGAGGGTGGTCACTGCCAGGGTTTCTTTTTACGTCCTCAGTGGTTCTTTTATGTCCCCCATTTTTACTGTAGGTTAGGAAGGGTTAGGAGACAGGGCCTACGGTTTCAAGTCCTTGTCCGAGAAGACTTGAAGGTCTAACCATTTGCAGATATTATTACAAAGGCAGCACCTTCTCCTCAGTTATTTTAAGACCCTGAGTGTTGGTCCGGCCGAGGCTTGAACCACGACCTCCCGCACAACAGACTGACGCTCTTACCAACTGAG